CAAAAACAAGTACTCTGAGAAATAACCAGCGACGGTTGCTCGTCTGTTAAAGGTCAGTACGCCCAGCGTCTACAAATCAAATTGATTTTCCCAATCAAGGAGATGATCCCAGCCAGGGCCGTAGCCAGGATTTTTTTTCGGGCGGGGTTCTGGGAAATTTTTTTTTTAGTTTCACTTTTATTTCAACATATTTTGATTAAAGAAAAATACTGATAAAAAAAAAAATTTTCATAAAAACAGGGTTGAAATCTTGAAATTCCTGCCCGTAGTTTGTTTGTAAATCAAATATGAGTGGCATTGTACTACTATGATATCACGGCCGAGTAATCATAGCCAACTTATGTACAGTAGTCGAAAAAATTATAGCCGCACCAAATTTTGACAAGTTTTAAAATATGACTTTTGTTGTTATTTAATTTCGGTTAGTTTTTTATAGTTCGTTCTTTACCAACATTCGTATAAATACAAGTTTTTTACATAGCGGTTGTGCAAGTGAATTTGAGTAGTTATAACATCACACCATTTTGTACCAAACAAAAATCTTCCCCATTGTATTGCCAAAATCCACCTGTGCGTATGAGTAACTCACAGGACGCACGACTTACTTACTATTCACCTTAACGCATTAGTTACTAGTCGCGTTTCCGGAATGAGCGAAAAACCGAAATAACTTGCAAGTATGCCAAGCACTTAGCTGTATCCCTGCGGACGCACAATAAGTGGAAGCATCTAAGGTAAAACCACTTTTGGTATAATCACCCGAGAGGTGAGAGTGCAACGGGTATGAATAACAGTGGAAAACCATTATACATATATAATACGGTAAAAAGTAGTAAACATCTTCCGAATGCGCTGAAATTTTCGGTATGCGGCGGACCTGACTACTCGTCAATATATATCAATCTATGTACTACTTACTGAATTGCGATTTCTTGTGCCCTTTGAATATTTATATTTCGATTTTCCTCAGAAACACCCATTAAACTTATTATTTCGGTACTTCCAGATATTTCGAAATTTGTACTAATGTCACGCTCAGACCACTGTGCGTTACAAGGCCACAATGTCGCGTTTATGTGAATGAAAGTTGCGTACAAAAGTACCCTTGGGGAAAAGCGAAAAGGCGAACGAATATTGTCATGCCATTCGACCAGCTGCTTCTATGATGGAGTCGCTGGTAACAATGATTAGGGAAAATAGACACTCGAAGTTTGTAAGAAAAAGTTGCGGGAAAGGCTTGCAAGGATAGGAAAAACAGCGAATCCCTCCAAGCGGTATGTTTTCACAAACTATACATGGATACGAGATTTTAATCTAATTATTCGCTTCATAAACGAGCTGAGCACATATTCTTGTACGCGTTGACGTTTGTACACACATATGTATCTTATGTTCTTACACGAGTAAATGCATATACATACATATGTATGCACACAATAATAAGCAAAAGCAAAGTAGTCAATGAGGATAAGAATGAAGATGGCAAAAAGTATCTCGTATTATACTCGTATTATCTCGTATAATATTTAGCAACAAAGACGTAGTAAGAATGAGGTGAAGAATCAGTAGCATAAAAGCGCAGAGCTTGAATACTAAGCTATCTAGATATACTTAAGCAAATCAAAGGATTTTGTAACCGCTGGCGATATGGTTATTTGCTACAAAAGACATGCAAACAATACGCTTGTGAATGTGGGCTTAAATATTTGCATATGTAATATGCTATACATATATAGTATATGCACATATATATATGTACGTGTATATGTACATCTGCGTATATGTCGGTAGGTGCTCCCCTGGTAGACAATTCCGGTGCGTAGCATGACAGACAATTGTCTTAAATCCTTTGAGTCTTGGCGCAACAAAGGCACATTCGCATGCACATATATATGTATGTATGTCTATATCCACATATGCATGTATATATTTACTAACTTACGCATTTTGGAAACGGTTAACAACGGTTACTTTGTATATTGCCTTTGGCGCAAACAGCGACAGCAGCAGGCACTTCCCTGGTAGCATGGCAGCTAACAATGTTTTCAGCTAAAAAAACAACAAAAATCAAAAGAACGAAATACACAGTTACTATGTATGTATAATAGGGGACACATTCGAGCAACACGACTGCCAACGTAACGTAAATGTCAATGGCAGTGACAATGTCTGCTTGTTGGCCTCTGGGGCGTATGAGCGACATTTTTCTGTGAACCTCAAATGCTTTTATGAATATGTAGCACAGTAAATTATATAAGTACGTATGTGAATACATACATATGTACGCATATAATTTTAATACATTGAGATCTCTGTTGGCATGTATGTGCACATGTGTAAATGTCAATGGCGTCCAAAGATACGAGTATGCCACACAAAAATAAACAAACAAAATCTGCAAGTGCCCGCACGTAGCTGGCATTCAAAATATTTAAGCGTTTAAAGCACTTTTGCTGCCATTTGTTGTGCGACTGAAAATGCGCAAAAAAACAAAAGTGAATGGTAAGACAAAAGACTTTAAGCTCCTACGCATTACCCCTTCTTTCTTGTTTTGTTTATGTATGTATGTATTTATGTGCTTGCGCTGATTGTAATAAGGTTTAGAATGACACAAATAATGAAGCTAACGTAGCAATTTTGTCGTTCCCATGCTACGGCAGCAAAGTATGAGTTTCAAATTTAATGATCACTTTGATATTTTTCTGGCAAGTGAATATGAGGGTGCGCACTCAGGTTACAAATTTATGCCTATGACTATTCATACACACACGCATGTATGGAATTGACACATTTTATGTATGTACATGATTGCTTGTTTACTTCTTTTTAAAATATATGTACATATATTAGACCGTACCACCTTACAAGAAATCAAAACAGTTCGCTATATACCCCTGGGTCTAAAATATTTTGTAGGGCAATTTAGAAAAAAAAATTGCTTGGCCAAACCTAGGGTTAGCGTTTTTATATTTCTACTTAAATAATAAAATCGCCTTTAATAATCAGAAGTTGAATTATTATTGGCGCGCTTTAATTTAGGTACATTGAGATAGTATTTAAGTATGTTAGGTTAATAAGAACTGCGCTCTGGACAAATATAGAAAAAAAATTTAAAAACTTTTGGACTAATTTTTCTTCTGCGAAATTGCCTTGCAAAAGTACTTTAGACTCTGTGGTATACGGCGAACCATTTTGCCTTTTTAGATTTTGCTCTTATTTCCATTTTATATTTTTGGCAGCTTTAGCTACTGGCTGGGGGTGGTGCAGCTACCAGGGACCTAAAAGACCTATTTAATATCAAGATTTTCACTGTTAGATCACTGCAATGCATTATTTTTGGAATCAATAGTAATCGTTAATTTTGGGTTTTCACTTTTTCGGCCATTTTTAATCGTTATGATGCATTTTATGATATAAAAAACTAAATCTTAAAATAATGGTTGTGGGATGATTGAAAAAAAATAAATCCCAAAAAAAAACGATTTTTTGATCGAAAAATTAAAAATAATACGAAAACGATTAAATTTGAAGGGAAAATTTTAAATCCAATTATAGCAGTTAAACTATGATTTTTATTATAAAGATCATAGCCGTTACGGTCCCTGGAAAATATATTCTTTCTAACTTCTCTCGACCCAACGGGCTAAATAAAAATATGCATATAAAAAAGATATGATTGAATAAGACATTGTCGATAATCTTTATTGATATGCAACAGTTTCTTTAAAATAAATCTTATTCGATGGCTATACTGGAGAGAACAATTCTTCACTAAAAGGAATTATCTATTTTTAAATACAGTGTTTAAGAATCCATATCTATCACAAGAATAAGTTTGGAGAAGTAAGAAAAAATTTAATGTTTTTGTTTTATATAACTACGAATGCATTTTCTCAAATAGATAAAAGAAAGTGATAGATGATTAGAATGCGAATTTAAGTAAAAAAACAAAAAAAAAAGATAGTCTTAAGATGTGCTCGATGAAACGGTGGAATTACTTAGTTCTGGCTGCCTTCTTTGCGATGATACGGTCAAATACATACTCATGCCAAATTTTTTATTTACTCAGATTTAAGCCTTACCGAGTGATTGAACGGAGAATTTTTTTGTACAAAGTTTTTAGGTTCTTAACTCCAAGGACCTACTACGGGGATCTTAATTAAAGGTGAACCAAAGAATTTTGTTAAATACTTAAGGACAATACCACCCGATTATAAAATAAGTCATCTCTACAAAAACCATGCCCACGCTTACCACCAAATCTGACAAGAAAGCAAAAGCATATTTTCAACGGCAGCTTTCAGAAGCATAAGCAATCTCGAAATCCCTTTTCCATATCCTTATTCTTACTGTAAACAATAAAAAGCAATGACTGTTAAATTCAAACAAAAGGACAATTCAAATAACAGCAAACGAACAAAACAAGAAATCATATAAGTCACGCGTGGCGTGAATGGCGTAACAATAACAAACATAACAACAACAATAAAACACAAAATATATAATTCTAACAACAAAAGGTGCTAATCGAAGAGGGGTAGCAAAAAAGTCAAGTCGCACGGAAATCCAGAGAAAGTTCTTGGAAGAACAAGTAAACGAAGGCGGTAAAAATATTAAAGGCTAAATTTAGCTAAGCCAAAAGTTACGAGTGGCGAGCACATTTGGGCCTACTGCAAATGCATCTCAGACAGGAATGTATAAATATATTAATAATTTCTTCTATAATTAAATATACCTATCAGGAGAGGACAGGCCATGATGAAAGCTTAATAACAATTAAGTTTTAGTCAAAGTTTGGTTTCTAAAATTTTTATTTTATCCGTTGACTTACAATCGCATATACATATTTATTTGCAAACATTAAAAATTTCTACTTCTTACTCTCTATGGGCAGCAGCACGCTATTCGCTTTGCAGCAATATCTTATTTATTTAATTTTAGCGATTACGCCTGATATTCGGAAGATATACTTTCGGACTTCACCTTCTGTCCAGCGGCACTTAATCTGACGTTGTCGGCTTTGGCACCGTGTAATTGTTTAGGTTATTATAGAAAATATGTAGAAGTGCTCTCTCTTGTCCACACAATCCATGGAAGTCATCCAAATCAAGGCTCCATGTCATGGCGCCAGCATAGCCCTTTTCCTTGATAAAGTCCATTTTAATTTGCACTGATTCCTCGTTTTCGTATCCAACCCATTGAGTGTCCTTATACGCGTAGGGTACTTTTCCTTGATCATCCCATTCAACGGTCCATCCCAAGGAGGCATTTTGCACCTGGGCACATATTTCGTAGTAGGCTAGGGCGCCGGCTTCTTCAGTATAAGTTCCTGGGTTGCCCGCGCCAGTTATGGGTGTGCCGAGGGAGTAGTTATGGTTGGATGCGCTGAGTGTAAAACTGCGACCATAGAATGGCACACCGACAACTAGTTTATTTGCCGGACAGCCCGAGTTCTCCCATAGTGCAACATCGTCATGCTTCGGATGTGGAATTCCAAAGTCAATGTCCTATTTGCGAAGTTACTTAAACAGTACTTACCACATTCAGTTTTGCATGCGCTGCATCTTCGTAATCGCGCTTGTAAAGCGGACTGTGTACATCGGCGTAACCGTCCCAAGTGCCGTGCAGGTCATAGGTCATTGTGTGTACGGCATCCAATAGCCTACAGTTTTTGTTTCTTAACTTTTTAACAGTGATTCAATAATACAATAAACTCACTCGCACAGTGCAGGTACGTTGTAGCCATCCTCAAGTATTGATTGAGCCACGGGAACAGCTATAGTTATTTCCCAACCCTTACCCTCAGCGTCGAAAGCTGTTCTCAATTCCTGTACTAAATAGACAAAGTTTCCTTTATCTGCAGCAGTTCCATTACGATCCGTAGCGCCGGGGTACTCCCAGTCCAAATCTAGACCATCGAAACCGTATTCATATAAGAATTCTACAACACTGTGGATGAAGCTCTGGCGCCGCTCGGCCAGTGAAACGAGTCCGGAAAATTTCCCACCATCCTCACCCCATCCTCCTATAGAGACTAGAAGCTTAAGGCTTGAGTTCTTCTCTTTCAGTTGAGTAAAATTGCGGAAACCATTTTGGTTGATATCCACTTCGCTATTCTTTACTAGTACAGACCAATCGGTGTCATTAACTCCAATGAACGAGTAGAGTATATGCGTACATAGCTCAGTTGGAATATTTTCGGACCCAAAACGTCCTATTCCGGGTCGATTGATAGACCAGTCAGTGAAGTAGCAGACAATACGCGCTGATTGTTCGCTGTTTGCGGTGCCGATGGCCACCGCCGTCAATGTGAAAGTGAGCAGCAAAAGTCTCGCGGAAATACCTAGAGATATTGAAAACAAAACCAAAGGAAAATTAAGTATTGTGCACAACTGGAATTTATTTGAAAGGACGATTTTAGCAGGCCTTGAAACAAGTCCTTCCGTACACAAGTTTATGAGGCGATTATTCGAATAGTATATTGAACGAGTTTAGTGAGCCCGAGGTAATAATAACATATCTTCAGTTAGTATTTTATAATTTTTCTAGTTTTCTTACCCATAATGTATGTTAACGTCTTAGCAGTCGAATGATAATAGGCCTGGTCTCGCGCTCCGTATTTATTTGGAATTAGTCACGTAACTTCTGCCGGTTCTTATATACTTGTACAATAGTTCATACCAGCAAATATTATTTAAATAATTTGCGATTGTCTTATCGCCGTTATGTAGGTCATACATACATACATCTTTGTTTTTGTATAAGAGAAAGTGCATTAGCCTAATAAAACCTCAAGTTCCACTAATCGAGAAAAACGGCCATTGTGGCTGAGTGGTTAGAGGTGCGTACGAGCACTCTGTAGGACCTGAGTTCGATGCCTGGTCGAAGTAATATTTAAATTAGACAAAGAATTAGTGGTCGCCCCTGTATTTTTGCCATGAGAAGGCTTCTCATATCTTAAACAAACATACAAAAACTGGCGCATATAGTTGCATAGTTTGTACAGCTGGACAATTAACTTCGCTTAAGAAACTAAAATCACATTACATATGTACACATGAATGTCATATATGTATGTCAGTCATATATGTACTGTGTTAGTATGTAGTTGTTGAATAGATAGTTTTTTTTGAACGAATTATATGTAGATAAGAAAGCGAACACATGAGTTTTATTAGACCTTTTCTTTAATTGCTTTGACCCAATTACTACCCAGTAAATTAGAAATAGCATTGTTAGTTAATAAAAGTTTATTTATGGACCCAAACCAAACTCACATCAACTTTTCTAAAATTGTGGAAACTGATAAAACGAAATACTATTTTTAAACATAGCTAATCACGTAAATCAAATTTGCAATCTTTTGGTAACCGAATGAGCAATAAATGTATAATAATATGACGGCTCAGTGAGGCTAACCTAACCTAATAAAGGCATAGACAGACGACAACGTTAATACCGATTAGCGAAGCAGTTAATCCAATCAAAGTTGTACCCTGACAGACGGCAGCAATGCGAATTAAAGTGCCGCGATGTCGTGCGTTCGAGTCCCACTGCCAGTCGAATTTTTGTGTAAGTTTTTGGTTCATTAAATCTTCTATATATATAAATTTGAATGTCTGTTTATTTATTACTTTATAACTTTCGAACCACTACACGGATTTTTTTTTACCCCGGGAAAGTTATAGGTATGGTTTTGTTTGCAAATATGGTGTCAATTTTCGCGTGCTGTGGTGTTGATGGATATTCAACATTTGAAAGCAAATTTACGTGCCTGGGTGTAGCTGAGTGCGCAAATATGCATGCCACAATTTGTTAATATCCAGATATGGTCAGGGTTCGAATTCCACTGCAGGCAACATGCAAATTATATATTTTTTTTTTGTTTTTTTTTTCTTGATTATTCACTTCACGGATGCTTCTTTGTTGAAGGTATTGCTCATTTTCTGCATATAAAAATATCGCCGAACATACTTCGCATATAACCATTAAAATTTAGAAATAACAAAAAAATTGTATAATCTTGCCAATATGTGAGTGTCGTAAAGTTGTGATAAGCACTATACTATATACAAACAGATAAGCGTGTATGTAAAAAAATTTTCACGGTTTCATTTCATTTGCGATTAACTTCCGCATGAAATTCAACAAAACTAATCTTAAATCCGACACTCGGGGTTCTGTGTTTCATCTCTTGAGCTTTATTTCCACTTTCTTTTGGATTCCAGAACCTGAATATATATAAAACTCAGAAATTGAAACACAAACCCCAAATTACGGATTTAAAGTGAGTTTTGTTGAAATTCACTCGGAAGTGAATTGCAAAACTTGCCTGATATATTCGGAAAACCCTGCAAATATTTTCACATAAGCGATGAGGCATGTCCATTAGGGTGGTCCAAAAATGCATGTCAAAAAGTGAAGTCCGAATTTTTATGCTCTCAGCCCCTAGTATTTTTCTATACCGAAAAAATATATCCCTATTTTTTTTTTTTTGAAATCAAAAAATATTTAGCGGTCGCTCAAAGCGCCCAAAATTTTCCATGTATTTTATATGAGGGAAAAACAACTTTTCGTAGTAATGGTATAGAATTCTTAAGAATCAATATTTTTCTATCGGCAAACTATGTTTATCTACAGAAGATTCCCAATAATAAAACCCAATTGTTTATTTAACCATTTTTTCATCACAACTATAATTTATAGGTCCTGCAAAAACCCCGAAATATGCAATGGGCGGACCAAAAAAAATCGTTAGTATTAAAAAATAGTTAAATAAACAATTGGGTATTATTATTGAAAGTCTTCTGAAGAGGACCAGAGTTTTCCGATCGAAAAATATTGATTTTCAAGAATTCTGTAACATTTCTACGAAAAGTTCTTTTTTCCCATACAAAAATATATGGAAAACTTTGAGCGACCTCTAAATATTTTTTGATTTCGAAATAAAAAAGCGGGGTCTACTTTTTTCGATTTAGAACAATCCTAGTGGGTGAAAGCATTACAACACCGACTTTACTCTTTTTGGACCACCTTAATGTCCATACATATATTTACATGCCCATATGCACATATATTGAAAGTACAACAAGCGAATTTTTATAATAAAATACAAGAGTGAAAAGTCACACATGGGGGTAAAAAATGTAAGATTTAAAATATTTCGCAAACAAATAATTTTTTTGCATCGAATTTCAGAATTGTTGTAATGAATTGATTCGATAGGAATTGTCAAGAAGTTTTATAAACCTATGAAAATAGGCTACAAGAATGGTTGACAATTTTTTTTTTTTGTGACTTTTCACCATAAGTAGGTATAGTGACCAAAAAGTCCATAAGTTTACATATCGATGGTATTTTTCCATAACTACACAACTCAAAATTTCATATTGTTGAGTTATATAGCGGATAAGATTGATAAATAACCATATCTTTCTCTTTTTGAAAACCGACATATGCTTAATTGTTACCAATCCGACAGAGGGCGCAATTGTGTCATTTTTCAGAAAATCAAAGTAGACAACCCTTACTACTGAAAAGTGGCACATGTTCCACGTTTATATCGTTGATATTGGCAAAGTCAAAAACTGTCGAACGGTTAATGTTGCTTTTATAGAGAATGACGACATTTGTCGTATTGTGCCGTTATTCATTAGTCGACTTATTTTCGTTTAACTCTTTAAAAATAGTTATTTATCTCGTCGTTAGCTTAAAATTTTTCTCTGCAGAATGGCTGCAAATAATCCACAATGATTACGTTCCAAGACATGTTATAGCTAAATTATGACACGGGAAAACATTAATTAGTTATACTTAAAATTATTATGTTTTGAGTTGTGTCACGAAATTTCTATAAAAGCCAATGGAATAAAAAAATTTAAAAACCAATTCCTAATCCTAATTCGGTTGACATGGAATTTTCATATATTTTTTTTTTTGCTACACATTTTTTTTTCAAGTCGTATGCCTAATTTATATGCAAACGTATAGTCTTAATAAGAGTAAATATGTTTCGTTTGTGCCACCACATGAATATTATAAAAGAGTTCGTGTCAGCTTGAGTGGCGTCAACGAATGAAGCCTCCCCCTCCTTTTTCACTCCTCAGCACGTCGGCTTGTGCGTTTGTGTGTGTTCTTTTATGACAGCAAATTTGATATGAATTTTTTCCTTTCTTCAGCTGCCTTTGCCGCAGTGCGTCATTTACTGCCGCCACTCGACATTAGCGAAGCGTGATTTAACTGCCGCATAATTTCTGCGAGAAATATGTGAAAATGTTTGCTTCATCTATTTGTAAGTATGTTTGTAGTAAGTATGTATATGCAAATCGAAACGTATGGATGTCTCTATAAAAATATAACTTTGTGACAGCATCAGTACTAAATAATGAACTTTATGCCGCTCATGTGTGTTACTGGCACTGCTGACTGTCATTTCAAAGTCACGCGAGGAAGTGTGAAAAACCAGGACGTTGTTAATAAATTGCAAATATTATGTATATATGTATGTACATATGTACACACAAATCTATTGCATTTGATACAAGCATATATTCTCTATTTCATATGAGCTACGGGAATGAACCTCTGCTCTTTTGCAGCTTGGGTAATACAGAAACTAAGCGCTATATGCGAATTGTAAGGAGGCAGCGATTTGGACAAACTTATGTGTGAAATTATCGGGCATTGCCCGGAATAAAGATATTATTAGGACTCAAGTAAAAGTATTCGCTTAAGTCGATTAAGACAAACTATTATCCACGAATCCTTCATCAACCTTATGTCCTTTTTAAAGCATTCTGTAGGATCTCTTTTGGGAGCGAAATATCTACAGAACAAGGAAATTATTCCTCCTTTGGTTTTTTTGGGGCACATCGGTTGATAAAAGTGGTCATTAAAGTTGTGATTTTCACAAAGAAGTGCTCCCCCTCCTCTGAATGCATTTCTTTGCCACACTTGCGGCAATCTCCTTTCACACTCATCACGTTCATTTACTCTCGGGCGTCCCTATTTAGTTTGCATGGCCTTAGCTAAATTATTAATTAAATCTTTTAATATTCATGACAAATTGACGGTGCCAGCTGTGAAACGCCCAGCCAGGAGCCAAGCTTGCGCGCTGATGGCAGCCACTAATCAAAAATTGTTCATTAAACGGCGAAGTCGGAGTCGGAGTGCGAGTTTGAAGTAATGGCAGCGGAGTTGCAAGAAAAGACATTATCGCTGTCATTCACAATCTGCATTGTGTCGTTGTTGTTATTATTTTTGTTGTAATTTATTAATTACCGCCAGCGTATCTCTTCCGTCTCAGTTTTTGCTTTTTTTTTGTAGCAACTTAATTTTTTCAGCTGATTGATTTGTTGAGCGTGCAACTTTCAACTTACCTGCTTGCAACATGTGCGCCACCAATGACATATTTACCACTCGCTGCCGAAGCATGCCACATTGCGATGATGCAGTGGTGTGCAGTCAAGTTTTTGCACAGAAACAACATGAAATTGTCACACCCATTTTTGGCATGCAACAAACGAGCTGTCATGCTGCTATTACCGCTGCAGCAGCTACTGTGCACTGCTGCTGCCGACTTGCCACACTTGCCACT